TTCCGTTGTGTACACAATAAACTCCTCCTACTACTCTGGCCTCCACCGACTTTCTCCTCTACTAAGGAACTGGGCTTGAAAGATTGTAGCTGTTAGGGTTAATCGTGTTAGCCTTAACACATCGCTATAATACTTCTGTTAACACATGAACTGAATACATTCCTTAAGTGAAAGCAATCTTGCAGAAAATTTAGCAGTTCTTATCTGTTTTCGGAGGGAAAGGATGAACTGGCCCACTGTTGATATCCCGGCCGTTAGCGACTCTAATGAAATCGACTTAACCACGTAGTTTAACAATGGGTGTAGTGTTAATATCCTCATAAACTCCTTAATTTTTCTAACGGTTTGACCTTCAGTTGGCCGGAATTATTCAAGGAGTGTCGTTATTTGTATCCACAGTAATACTAAAATTTGCAAAATTTTTTAAGAACTGAGTGCTATATTTTTGCACCAGCGTTCCATAATATCATAGTAAATAAAGTAATCAATCTGAGATTTAGAGCATCCTGTAGAACCTTAACTTCAAACTTTATAATAGGAAAGAAGGGGATGTTTTTCAAAAACAGGTCATTAAACGGAGTCAGATGATATGTGGACTACCGAGTAATGACACGATGCTTCCGGAAGTGTCCTACTTACAGCCTACTTACGCCAATACATGGTGTCTACATCACTGGGGCACTATGAAAACCTATATGCCCAAGTTGGAAGAGTTGAGAAGCCAACTATGATAATTTATGGTATTAAAGTGCCTCAATGATGAGCCCTTTCTTCTTCTGAAATTGCTCTACGTCTTTTGAGAAGGCAGTAAGCAATTACCAATTAACTGTAAACCCGTTTTAAATGGAAAAAAAACTCTCTAAAAGTTATATACCTAGAGAAAATAACTCAAGATGGAACCAGCGAAATCCTTATTAGCGGCAACTACTACTGAGACATCAATAGGTTTCCAAAGAAAGACAAAAAAACAGTGGATTCCCGTCATGAAACGATTAAGTGGCCCCATTCTGAAAGCCTGGATAAAGTTATGCGGACAGCCACCGACCTGGAGAATAGTAGGTTGTTAAAATGAGCTCTACATGCAAAAATTTTTAAAGACGACACTTTTTTTCATTTAATTTTCAGTGGGATACTACATCCAATGCACTCCCATATATTGTGAAAAATAGCATTGTGAATATCAAAGTGCCATGTATCGCTTTTATGTGTAAGGTTGGCCATCACTGTGCGCCCGGTTTAAGATTACTAACTACGACTACATAAGTATAAAGGGTGTCATAATATAATAATTTAATACAATATAGAATAATATAATGTATATGCCCATGGAATAAATATACGGATGTCATTACCTGTAAAATCTATCTCCCCATAGACTTTTAGTAGCTTAGCCATAAGTTGAATATTCAGTTAGTCCTGCTGCCTACGGAATAGGATTTTTGGTATAACTGTCTTTTATATATATGCTCCCCGTCCAACTGTCCTACGTAAATTTTGGTAAAACATTTCATTCTTGGTTAGCGGGTGTAAATTAATTTTTAATTGCGTTGGACGTCATCACAAAAGTATTAAATTAAAGAAACATATTTGTTCCAATGTACTATAAATAATTAACTCCATAGACATAAACTCCTATTGCTCAGGAACCCGATGTCTATTTGGTGAAATTCAACCTTATATTAACTTATTAACTTAGCGAAAAGAGAAACTTCGAACGTATTTTGGCGGGGTTTAACGGAAAAAGGAAAAGTCTGTTTGCTGAAAATATAAAAGTACGTTATTGTTATAAACCAAAAGCAAATAGGACCTCTATAGACAGTCCTTACGGATTTCAAACACCAATACAAGCGAACATGCGAGTCCCAGGAAGTAATTGAGAGGAAGCCGACTCGATCGCTGGGACAATATTTTATTCGCTTGACGTTTCGATATCCGTCGCGGATTCGTCATCAGAGGCATATTTAAAGAGCCATAGCCGATAGGGTTGCACATGCACAAGAGTTTGCAATATTTATAGGATACAGTAATTACTGCAAACATACGACGACAATCAACCGTAATTGTCTTCTTGCATTCTTTGATTAGAACAAGGCAAGGATAACGAGATTAGCAGAATTTACTGACGCCATAAAATTTCATGACGTCCTAAAAACCATGCTTCAATGTTTGCTTAATCGATTGGAAAACATTGCTCTACCTCTATTGAACATATGTGAACTTTCACGCCACTGTGAACCAATGCGACGTGTCGTTACTACGTAAGTGACTCAGTCAAGACTAAATATGAGCGTTGTAGACTGAAACGGCTATGTGGCCAATAATAATCACCCGAGGGCGCACCTGCCGAGAGCTAGGGGCATCGTAACTGATATTTCGTTTATCACTACAATTTTATCATTACAACTTCGTTTGTCACTACAATTTATCGCTACGACTATTGAAAATATTGTTGGTTTGATAACGGTGATTTACAAAAATATGAGGTCAAACAGTGTAGGGTTGAAGCCTACCCGTAGAGGTGTGCACCGCACCGGATCTTCGAGCAGGCGGCAAAACTGTCCTCTTCTTTCGCATTAGGGCGCTTTTCGTTTTTCAGGCAGCATCGGCGAACAATTTGGGCAATTTTGACTCTGTTATGCATGTAGTCCCTCCACATACCATCAGTTGCCTTCAAGCACTTTCCATATTCATTTGAACAGTACATTATGCAATCCTGGAAGTCCTCCATGGTCATTTCCTCATGTTGCGCTAACGACACACTTGTTAGTATAGCGAGAATCCACCAGGACCTCATTCTGCTGCGCTTAACGTAAGTTTTCGGAATTACCAGTGGCACCAGGCCTGCGCGCTCTTATAGCTTTGGCCAACAAAAAAACGTCAGCTGGGGTGCAGCGGTGTACTTGAGATGTCCATCATACAACATACAGCCCGTCAAGGTAAGTGATTCGTTCGGTAGTAGCGTCGCCGGAAGTCATACTTAAAAGATGTTTGCGCAAAAAATTGAAAAACCTTTGCGCTCCATTTAACTCTGAGGCGCCTAATGCTTGCTGTAGGGCCGAGAATAGTTAGATAACAGAAGACTTCCGGCGA